GGAACACCTTGGCGGAGACCCTTCTTACCCTTCAAGTATATGTCAGGAATCGACTTACCTTCAAGTTTACCTCATTCTAGTGTCTCCATTTCCATTGGTCCTCCATTTTGATGCAGCAACAGCTTGATTCAGTATGGCTGCATTGTGAGGTTATCTGAAACATTGTAGATGATTCGTATTTGATATGATAAGAGATCCCAGATTCAAGAAACATATAAAATGGAGGCCTCAGGTTTCCTGGGAATTCGATTGAACTCTTTATTCAATTGTGTTATTACTTTTTTCTATGGTGTTATTAGGTAATTTACATAATAATATTTAAAAAAAAAAGAGAAAAAAAAAAAAAAAAAAAAAAAAGACAATTTACATAATACAGTGTTTAGAAGCAAACTGTTATGGGTGAATCTTGCTATGTAGCTATTTACATAGTCCCAATCAGTAATGCAGGTCCTTTCACTCAGACGTAGCAATATGCAAGAATCAAATCTTATGCAGTCTTACCAAATCTATTTACATAGACATGGTTATGTACAGAGAGCTTAGAGGGGAGAGTGAACCATGAGTCTGACTTATCTCGGGCGGTTGTCAGTCTTCAGAAAGTGGAAATATTCCAGTTGCCCCATCTCTCCTCCGTTCACGGGATCAAAGCTGCATCTGTAAAAACTGAGCCAAGAAAACACAAGTGAGCACTAAGCCGAAATCTGAGAGTGATTTATATTGATGCACAACTAGTGTAATTGCTCTGTTTTAAGATTCCTGGTAGTGTGATGGAATTGTAAAGTGAATGGGCTTATTTGGGGTCATACCTTCCATCCATGCCGATAATAGCAACCGTGTTGTTACTGCCAAATGCTGCGAAGAATTGTGTGACTTCTGATACATGAAACTGTGCATATGACCATTCCGAGCTGAAATACTTTGGTAGAACACCTGCAACAAGAGTCTACATGTTAGGTAAGAAAGAGACAATGAATTTTCAAGGTTTCAAAGTAGCATTCCAAATACCATTCTTCCCATTTCTACATTCATGGGAGAGATAATAAACAAGAGAAAGAATCATGTTAACAAAAATTTATAATCTTAGCAATCCTACTACTATGAAGGGAATAAATCTCTTGGACTTAGAGCTACTACATAGTCAATATTCCCACTCCATTAGTTTTAGGGAATCAAGTAACCTTTTCTTGACAGTTTCATGAGAAAAGAATAAAAATGATTTGGTACTCTTCCTTTTGTTCCATAAGCAACTTTAAGAAGAATCAAGGTATCATATTTCATTACAGATGTATAATTTTTCCTTACCTCTCATAAACGACAATGACGAACCGGGATTGGTACCAGTGATTGGAGAAACAAGGCCTTGCAGAGAAGTAGAATAAGTTTGTTGGGTCAACAGAGCTGCATTTTCAGTGGAATAAGAATCCTCCCCAACTACCCTAACTCTAAGAGAGAAAATGTGAACAGTCCCCTTGTCGCTTGATACTGCCAGCCACTGCACGTTTGGTGAAAGTGCAATGCTATAAATATCTGCTCTGTCCACTCCTCTTCGTACCTACAAAGAAACAGCATTGAATTGCATTTAGCATATGCATTAGTAACGATGCAGTCATCAAAGCAAATCAGCATTTCATATTCACCTCTTGCAAACGAGTTCCGTCCATAGTGTTGAAGATTCTAATCAGAGTTCCCTTTGTACTAGCAGTTGCGAGCAACAAACCATCCAATGTCAAAGTCATACACGCAATACTAGAATCATGAGCATTTATGATTTGTACCATGCTAAGCCCGAAATGTTCAACTCGAATCTCTCCGCGATGAAGACCGGGGCAAGCTAACACAGACGTATTAGAATGATGAGAAAGGCAACATAATCCTCTAGGATTAGCTTGAGTTTCAATCTGATGAAGAAGTCTTAAGTCCATAAAATTGTAAACATAAATCTTATGTTCAAGAACAACAACAATCCGATCCCTTCGTAATTTCACAGCACGAATCTCAGACCTAAATGCAAATTCACTGATGCAACGGCTCTGATGATCATCCCAAATTAGTACTTTGTTTGAAGGGTACTGAGAGTTAGGTCCACCACCAACAAGTGCCAATATATTGCTTCGGAAAAGCATCTCTACAATTTTAAAACCGCCATTCTTTAGCTCACGCCTGAAAGTTTCCTTGAAAGGTTGACAGTTATATATACGAAAACCATGACTCGTTCCAGCTGCAAAACAACTTGAATCCTGATTCCAACACACAGAAACCAACTCTGCTTCTTCGTTGTTAATAGATTCTGATTCTGAACCAGAGGTGATGTTACTGCGGGAGTCATGACCACTGTAACCACCTTGTTGCAGGATTCCTTGGTGGTTTGAAACAGTTGAACTCATTTTTTTAACACTGGACCTGACAGATCAAACAATTACAGTAACATAAGAATCGAAGGAAATTGTATATAATCTTTGATTCAAACATTAGCAAGGATTCTCACCAATCGGAAACGAATCAACGGGACGAGTAGGACGAGATCTACGGTGAAATATTGAATCTCCAAGGTTAGGATTTGAATGACGAACACGCTCTCTCCAGAGTTGCTGATTTTTCTCTGAAAGACTTCTCTTCCAAATTAAATTCTCCGGTTTAATTTTTATTTCGGAATTTATCGTGTCGGTTGGAAAAAAAAATTAAAATGGGCTAATTTAATGTCCAAGTGGGCCGCCATCTATGGGCTAATTAATATTCACGTGTTTGCGTTTATCTTAACTTGGAGAAAAACCTCGTGTCGTTTTTATTTGGTGGAAGATACTGTCGTGCCGTTTTTTGGATTAATAATTTGGTTAATATACCAAAAATGGAAAATTCACTTTGGAGACAAAACAAACCATATTTGGAAAAAGGTGATTTTGGCTATGAAGGAAAAGTGAGAACCCCGATAACACTCGCTTTGGTCAATGCGTACACATAACTAAAGAAAGATAAAAACCACAGTTTCCGAGAGAGGGAGACATGGACCAATTATCACTTGATTCTGTTTGGCGTTTTAAGTTAAAACTATTTATTTTGGATTGTTAACTTCACCATTGTTGCAAAATTTTACTACTAATTACTAAAATAGCAAGTTGTTGACAAACCATAACTTTTTTGTTTTTTTCTTGTATTTCATATGGTGCAATCTTGGTAACTCGTTTTAACAAATTATCATCACTTAGAATTAAATTTCTTATAATCTCATTTTCATTGTAGCTAAAGTACTACTACTGTACCCCATCTTTACTTAAACAACTAGTGGTTATGTTCTAATTCATATCCCTTTTCACTTTCTACTAATTAAATCTCAAAATTGCGAAAAATAGAGAGAAATCAATTCAATTCGTTTTGTAACAAAATAGAAAAGAATACAAGATTCATTCGAATCTTAAACTTGTAAATTTTGGGTTGTTCTTTTTCGTTTCCAGATTTTCTGTATCAATCGGTTTATGGTTCTTAGAGTGATAGAAAGTGAGATTTGAGAGCCTAAAATTTTCACAACAACTTTTCCACCATAAGTTCCAATAGAGTTCTAAGTTTGAATTTTGATTAAATTGTCACACATTATTTAAAACCATAAGTTTGCAGTAATCTAGGTAACTATTTTGTAGATCTTTTAATACATATGTAGTATATAATATTTGTACTTTTTGGAGTACCACTCACCAAGAATTTGGGAATATTATTACATGCACAAAAACTCTCGATGTACATGAAGCTTAAAACATGATGGGTTTTGGGAAATTTCTAGGGAAATTTAAACTATTGTTTTGTTACACGTAAAAAGATAAAACATTTTGTCGGTAACCACCGGCTTGACCTAATATAATTTCTAAACCCTAGTTCATATATATTGTTAATTAATTCATTCTTTCGAACAAATGATGCTGTGATACTGATGCCTTTTCTACTTAATATATTAACTAATTGGATGATCACATGATGATAAATTATCCATATAATCTACTTGCTAAATTTCCATATATATCTGCATTATTGCAGACAAATACATGAACCACACAAATAAATACCTTTGAGACAATATTTAAATAACAATTCGAGATCGTGCACGATGTCTATACATTCTTTTTATATAAATATGGTTGTTTATAATTATATGCAACCTAATGGTTTCACTTTCAACCTTTATAAACTATTTCGTGTGGATATTGTCATCATATTGTTCATATGCATATCCACTTACTTACTTTTTTGGCATCATCATATCGGTTCTTTAAAACTTAGTTCAGAGACGTACGGTTCAAATATAAAAAATCAAGAATTGTATAGTGTGTATATATATAATTATAAAAGTTGATACCTAACAATTTATAAGCATAAAAAATGATTTCAAGATGTAAATATATCGTTTTTAACCAAAGGACGATGTAAAGTTGTAAACTATGCATTCCAATCATCGGTAACATACAAATTACAAGTACAGTACTAAAGTCTTACTTTACAAAATACGAAATAAGGCAAGAACACGACCTCTATATATACTAATTAATTACTAATATCTCTCAACCCATCAAATAAACAGGGAGGGAAAATGGATACATACATGTTCCTATATTGTCCAAACACAAAGTATGAATTAGTATTTAAGAAAGACCATCGTCATGTATGATGTATCCATAGTCATAACCGAAGATTTTCCTTAGAATGTAATATACTGTATATATATCATTCAAAAAGCTTAACATAATATTAATAACCCCCCAAAAAAAGCATTACTTTAAAATCTGACTATACCTTTAATGCAACCCTAGCTAGTGAGTTAGTGGCTAGATTCTCCAGCACGTGGACATGACTCAAATCCTAAACCATATGGTTCTGTTCTTTGGATTCATCAGAGATAATATATGGCTCAACGAGTACAATTCAATTCGATTTGAAGTCGAATCATTTCTAGAATCTAGATGCAATATATATACTGATATATAAACAGATGATGAGGAAAAAAAATGAAAAAATTGTAGAGAAAGAAGGAGCTCCCTTCAGTCCAAACACAGATAAAGAAGGATCAAAAATATCTCCCGCATCATTCACACAGTCACTGCGGTTTAAAATTGATCGTTTCTCTACCACGAGTGTTTGGATGGATGAGTCGGCAGATATTTCTACCCTCTTCTTTTTCTATCCATGACTGGACTGAAAGAATCTCCTTCTATATCTATCTATTTTAATCTCGATTCATAAATTTATCTATACTTTTGAAACAATGAAGGGCCACACTTATGAAAAGCAAGTTGTTCTACAGAAGAATACATAGGCATGAGTTAGTTTCAAACACATGCACTTATTGCTTTAAATGGGCCATCGACAACTAGACAAAAATGTGACCAAGACAACTTCCTATGTACTTATATTTGAACATTTAGTTTGAAAGGTTATTGCATGTACTTACTTATAAATGCATCAGCAATGAATTAGAATGTCAACTAATGTAGTAAGTGTATATGAATGAACTTAACTTACAAGGTTTGGATGGTGAGTGTTCTTTATGAAACTTCACAGAAAGAAACAAGCTTTACTGTACAAGTAAGACCACTGATGGGTCTTGTCAAGAAGAGGCTACCAAGAGAGAGACAAAGGACGAACTGTTCATCAAACATTGAAATCATAAAAAACATTTAATAATGCTTTTTTCTTTAAAACTTGAAATTGGTTTCTGAGTGATGTAAGCCCTGTGCAGATGAACAGTTACCGTAATAATAACAACATTAATAATAACTAGTTGAGTAAATATATATACCTAATTAAGCAAATATATAAGCAGACAGGTCCAAAACATGTGTGAAAAAGATTCCACCATAGTCATCGCAGCTCGTGGGAAAATAAGAAAATATATAGAAAGACTTAAACAAAGGTAATTTGGTTTTACCTCTTTCAAAAATACAAGCTTTGGACCAAGAAATATTCAGTTCTTTTTCATGAGATCTCAGTTTCTGGAGGGTTTGTGCAAGAGATTGAACTCCAAAATCAGAGAAATTGCATTATATGCCTTAAATTTAGACAAGGGGAAAAACCCTAAAAGTAGAGAAATTAATGAAAAGCATATTATTTTTTATTTTTGTAGACAAAGGAAAGAAAGATAAGATCTGAAGCGAGCCATGAATGGTTATATAACTATCGACCTTAAGACAAGGAGAAAAAAACCCTAAAAGCAGAGAACTCAGAAATCTTATCTATTCATGTGGTTGAGAGATTAGATCTCAAGCAAGTCACAACTAATGGTACTAGATGTGATGATATATATGAAAAAAAGAAAACCCTTACATGGCTCTTGATGATGTTTCACACTCGGATTTAGGAGCTGTCTGAAAACCCTAGCTAGCTCTCCTTTTGAAATCTTCTCAACCCAATAGAAGCTATAAGTGGAGATCACTGTAACTTATAGAAAAAGGTGAATTAAGTAGGTGGATGTTGCAACTAGCAACTAGCTGTTAGCAAGTGGTGGTTCAAAGAAGGGACAAACAAAAAGAGATGACGATGATGATGGTGAATGATTAATGATGATGATGGTGGTGATGTTGGGTCATTGTCTTCATGGGATTCAGGGAAAGCTAACTGTTTCTTCATATCTCACCATATCTTACATAAATGAGAGAGAAAGAGGAGAGAGAGAGAGAGAGAGTAAGAGAGACAGAGAGCGAGATGGTGACTTGTGTAATTTTGTGTTGTGTGTTTCAGGTTTGTTTTTGGGGGATGATTAGAATTGATTTGTGATGGGAGAGAGCCATCAAGAGGTTCATCAGCCAGCTTTTTAAGGTTCTTTAGTTTTCTTTTTGGATCACATTTAATGAGAGGTGGAAGAGCTTGAGAATTTAGATAATGTTTTTAGCTAATTAAGTTTTTTGTTTATACATTTTTATTTATTTCTTATTATTTAAGCATTAACGAGTGGACCGGAGATGACATATATAGTAGTAGCTAGAAATCATATAATTGGAGACTGAGGATTATTAGTGTATAATATAATTGGTCCCGAAAAATAAGTATCGTTGTCTTTATGCATGCAAGAATCTCACAAGCTCGTGAACACAAATCCCATCTAAGTGAAGCGAAAGATAATATGAACATCGCAAGTACTAATTACTAAAAATTTCGTGAAGGATTCAAAAGTACATGGAGTCATTTAGTTTGACTTCTAAACTTGTTTAAAAAAAATATTATATCATGTGTAAATGCAAGATGTGTCATCAATAATTGTTAATTTCTTTTAGATTTGAAGATCCTTTTACTAATGTTCGAATACACACCATATCAATTATTCTTCTTATAGTGAATCCTATCATCAAGCTATTCACAAGTTATGCCATAAAAAAACAATGTAAGATTTTTCTTCTTTTTTAAGTTTCAATATAATAATATACGATTTGGTCTATGCCTCTATGGTTTGATACTTTTGGTCTATTTCTCTATTTATGCGTCTTATTTTTGAGCTTGGACCATGCTAAATTGCGAATACAGTATTCTCTATATTGTTCCAAATTCCAATTTTATTGAATTGGTAGAAAAAAACTTTAGGCTACCTTTGATAATATGCATCTCAATCACATGAAATCTTCTTATAATTGTCTTAACCAATTCGATAATATTCTTTTATCAGAGTATTTTCAAATGTAAATTAAGGGCTTCATTGGTTCTCCCGCTAGCACCCTCTTAGCGGTTGCTAGCGGTCGGTTGCGGTTGTTAGCGGTTGGTACCAATCATAGAAACCGCTCCGTACCGCTTCGAACCGCTCGAAATCGCTGAATTTCAAAAGCTCCTTCCCGCAAGCGTTTGCGGTTGCGGGCGGTAGCGGTTGGATTAAAAAAAATAAAAAAAAATCTAACGTTTACTTATAATTATTATAATATATATTAATCTTATATATATTTTTCATCTTTTTATCACGTTCTCATCAGAAACCCTAATAATATTCTGAAACTCTATTCTCTCAATGTCTTCCACCCAAACTGATGAAAATCAAGAACCAAACGTAAGTATCATATATCCTTTTATTCATTCATCACCTCATGTGTAACTTTTTGAATATTTTTCATGCCATCGTTTTTTTTCTTTTCATTACGTATTGCTTTGCTTTTTGATTGAATATATGTTTCGATTTGTTTTCTCGAATAGAAACTCACTTGCTTTTTAATTGAATTCAACGTTATTTACAGTTTGTCCCATTACTTGATGCAATTTTTGATGTTAAACCAGATGCATAAAGTACTATCTTGTTACAAAATTTCTTTATTTTTGAATAATTATTTAGTACTTTATTTATAGTTTTAATTATTAAGCATGTTCAATTTTTCTAATATTATCATAATAATATATTGGTGTTTTTATTTCTTTTTTTGTAATATTTTTTATTTATTTTGGTCATTTTTTATTTAACTGCTACCGCACCCGCTGGTTTACCAGTCATAAACCTCCCGCAAACGCACCCATTTTCAAACGCTAAACCAGTCGTTCAAAACGCTTGGTAACGCTTGAAACCGCAACCGCCGCTTCCGCAACTCCCGCAACCGCAACCGCAACCGCTGCGTTTAAACCAGTCAGGCCCTAAATATAGTAAAAAAAAAAGTATAGAGATAGAATTATAAAATGACAATTTTACCCCTGCCACCCTGTCATCTGCGAACCGACCAGAATAGTGAGTGGGCATGGAGTTTCGAACTGAGACACTTGTGGGTCCTTTGTGTTGTGCTTTGTTCCTTCCTTCAAGAAAGTAAGACGGACCCGATAAATAATTCGGTATCCAATTAAAACCCGACCCTAACCGGACCAATCAACCCGACCCGATCTTTCTTCATTTCGATTGATCACCATTGATCCCCGATCGCTGCTACGAACTCTGCAAGCTTCGGCGGAAATGGGATGACGATGACGTTCTCCAATGGATTGATTCGACTCTTTTGACTCATCGGCCCAAATTTGAACTTTCGCATTTCCATTGATTAGCTTGACAAGTTTTCGAGTCGAGGTAATTTTGAATCAGGCGAGACACTCCAAGTTAGGATCTTTGGTTCGAGCTTTTGTGCGATCGATCTAAAAGGATATATAAGATGGTGAGACCATCGGATTTTAAAGCAATTCAAGGGTTTATTCGGCTGCATTACACTCGGGTCAACCCTGTCACCATTGGTCGATCAAACCCATCAGCTTTGTCTTCTCCAGCTATTCCCTCCAATGGTGTTCCTCAGCTTCAGCCTAAGTTTAGCTTCCACAGCTTATCCTCGAAACCCACTTCCACAAACGTGGGATTGTCTCAGATTCTGTCCTCTCCTAAGCTCAATCCTAAGTTGCAGCAAGCTTTGGGTTTGCCTCGTGTGAATGTGAGTTTTGCATCGGCGTTTAGATTGGTCTCCACTAAGAGCTCTGGGTTTCGAAAGGTTGATGGGAACTTTGCGAGGAAGGTTGTTGATAAGCCTGTCAAAGCTGTTAGTTCTACTTTTGCTAGATACCGTGAGGCTATTGGGTTGCACGTTGATGCATTTTGGAAAAAGAATAGTCTTGTTCTGTTTGGAGCTGGAGGTGTTTTTATATGTATTTTCCTGTGGAGGATTATGTTTGGAATTGCTAGTACGTTTGTTGGCCTCTCAGAGGGCATGGCCAAGTATGGGTTTCTAGCACTTTCCTCAGCCATCGTAGCATTTTCTGTAAGTTCCGCTGTTTCTTTGCTTATCGCTCATAATTTGTGCTTAATCTTGATGGTTGCTCGATTTCTTAGTGCAGTTTCATTGATTGAATCACAATGTATGCCTAACTAAGTGCCTTGTAGTTGTTCTGAATAAAAGGAAATTTAGGAATTTCTCTGTAGAGTTATTGGTTGATAGTGAATGGATGTAGACTGGAGTTTGCGATGATATTGGTTTGATTTTACCACGACTAGAGTATAGGTACATTGTGTATAGAATGAAAAAACTGCTTATATGATATGGTTTGGTACTGTTACATTCTCCTAGTCCTATATCATATAGAAATCACTCCTTCACAGCTATCTGCATTTTTTCGAATTATAGGGATTATACCTCCGCTCAAGGTTCACAATTAATCCCGATAAAGTTTATAGAATGACCATGAGGAAGATCAATACTGCAGCTGAAATCCTAGAAGTTATGGGTGCTCCTCTGTCAGGATCAGATTTACGAGCTTATGTGATGTCAGGCGGTGGCATAACATTT